AGTTTGGTGGTGCTGAAAGGCACGCCATAAAAAAAAAGCAGGTCTTTGGTTGGTGATGTAGAAATTAAAATTTCTGAAATGTTCTTCGCGCAAGTTGAGGCAGAGCGTTTGCAGCAAATGATGCAAAGTGGCTGCTGCAATGGTGCAGAGGGCTGGGAATTAAATCCCTGTCTTCACTCAGTTTTTCACCTAGACATAAAATATTGGCTTTTTGTGCAAGTGCCTTGCACTGGTTGTCCAACCTCTAATCAGTGGAGTTTAATCATTGACTGCTGGTAAGAAAATACAAAATGATCCAAAACTGTTTTGCAGTCTGCTTTCCTTAATGCTATCTCTGTAAAGTTTGTGGATTCAGAAAGATTCACAAAATCTCTTTGTTCTTAAATTTGCACGTGAAAATTCAACATCTTCATTTGGGTGGAAGGCTTTAATTGCAGATTTCAGAATTTGGAAACTAATTAGAGCTGGGTGGTCACTGTTTCCCAGTGAGATCATCTCCGTTTCTGGAGAGAGCTTCTTTGCAAACCATAATTGCAAGGATTCTAGTAGGAAAAAAAAGGCAGTAAAATGCCATATTCTGGAGTTGTAAAATTTTGCTTTACATGTTTTATGACACCTCTAGCAGACCTTCAGGGAGATGGCAGATAGCTTTTAGATGGAATTTTTGTAGGATGCAAAGGAGTTGCACAATGAAGTGTTTGTATTTATGTGTTTCAATGTATGGCTGCATAAAGAGGAACTCCTTGGAATATAAAAAAGGGGCAGATCACGTTTAAAGAGGGAGGAAACACAGGAGCTGAAGAAAGGGAAAGGACAGATCTGAGCACCAGAAGAGAACTGTTTATATAAAAGGTTTAAGATAATGGTTTGGGGTTTTTTTAATTGCTGTTTTCTTATTAGTCATAGTGTTTTGGAAGGCAGTTGTGAAAGAAAAGCTTCCTAACTCGTGATCGGAGTCGATCAGTGATTTAAGGATTCATAACCTCATTGTTAATGTCATTCTGTCCCTCCAGCCCTGGCATCCCATGAGGGGCTTCTGTTTAAGTCCTCATTATTTTCTCTCTCTCTTACGAATCATTCCCATTTCACTCATGATGACGGAAACATTTCTACAGTGCTTTCTTTGAAACAAAAAAATAAAAAAAAAAAATATATATTGGAAAAGAAAATAAAAAAAAGAAAAGCCAACAGCAAAGCTACATGTCACTGCTGCTTGGAAGTGCTCTTGGTTTCTAATGGCTGGTGGGGAAGGACTGCGTGGTTTCCAGAATGACTCCTCCTGCTGTCTCCTTTTTGTCTTTGTTTCAACGTGTTTCTCTGAACAGTCAGAAGGTCAGTTTGAAAGATCGTGTCTTCTCCAGTCCCCGCGGTGCTGGCACCAAAGGGAAAGGCTCTCCACAGGCTCAGGGCATCAGGAGGTCCCCCAGCGCTGACCAGAGCATCGAGGACAGCCCGAGCAAAGTGCCCAAGAGCTGGAGCTTCGGAGACCGCAGCCGAGCCCGGCAAGCGTTCCGCATCAAGGGAGCGGCGTCGCGGCAGAACTCGGAAGGTGAGGGCTCGGGGGGCTGTGCTGCACCCCAAATTCCCAACTGGCCCTTGTCGCTGTTGGCTAGACAGCCGACATAAAAGAATAGATACAAAATACACAAAAAGTGGGTGAAAAAACAGAAAGAAAGAAGGACTTTATTGTGGGACAAGCCTCTTTTATCCACTTTAGCAACCAGTGCATRCATTTGTGTCAAACATACATTGGTCAGTGAGGCTGTCACTTTTTACTCAACAGCATAGGATTGGTAGGTTTGCAAAAGCTACAGTATTAGTAATGTTGATAATTGTAAGCCACCTGCATTATCAGTTCTACATTCCAATCTTCTTTTTCTCAAGACAGCTAAAGACGTGGTGTTTTATTCCCATGCAAGCTGTTAACACTCCCTACAGGCCCTGACATCCTCTCCTTCTCCACCTAAGAATGGCAGAGCTGCCAGCCAAGGTGTTGGGACACCTTCCCCTCCCAGTCTTTTAGCCTGGAGCAGCCTGAGCAAACTGGTCCTGCTGAAGATGTCCCTGCTCATTGCAAGGGGTGGGATTAGAGGGACTTTAAAAGGTCCCTTCCAACCCAAACTAGTCAGCAATGATTAGTTGAAAGAGGCAAGAAAAAGAGGCAAGAAAATCCCTTCTTCCACCCCTGATAATATTTCTATTCTGTATATAAGGATGGGTAAAGGAGGAAGAGTCAAACATTGGGACAAGAGGAAATGACCTCAAGTTGTACTACAGGAGGTTTAGGTTGGATATTAGGAAAAAATTCTTCACTGAAGGGTGGCCAGGCCCTGGAACAGGCTGCACAAGGCAATGGTGGATTCACCATCTTGGAGGGATTAAAAACACATCTCCATGTGGCACCTGGGGACGTGGTTTGGTCATTGGGTTTGGCCGTGGTGGGGGAATGGTTGGACTCCGTGATCTTGGAGGGCTTTTCCAAGCCAAATTATGTTGGGATTCACTGAGGTAGAGATGGGTGAGAGCCGCAGTTAACACTGCTGAATGTCACCTCAGCACATCCTGGGAATTGCTCTCATTTGGATGCTCAGCARARGCTGCTCTGCTGCTTCCCCTGGGATTGCAGTTTGCGATCTGCATCATCCTCCTTCACTCGACACCGGCACGGAAAATAATAACGTGTTTTGTTTTATCCTTCCCTGTCTCAAACCCAGAAGCAAGCCTCCCTGGAGAGGACATTCCTGATGAGAACAAAAGCTGCAACTGCGAGTTTGTGACAGAAGATTTGACACCAGGGCTGAAAGTCAGCATCAGGGCAGTGTGGTAAGAGAGGGAGCAGGGGGAGCAGTCCGGAAAAATAAATTATAGTGAAAAATAAAAAGTGTAAAGCCTGAGAAAGTGGTGGCAAACGCTGACATGTGTGTGCTGCAGGCTGTTTTTCCCCTGGGTGGCCTGTCCTGCTTTACAGACAATTCTGCCAGGAAAGGCAATTTTTGCTTAGGGAAGGAATAAATGGAGAAACAGGAAAATCCCCCGCAGGGATGCATCCAAATGACCGTTCTCACCAGCTCTGAGATCCAATGCTGACATTTATAAAAGCAGTGCAGGGAGCACATGCACAGATGACAGTCCGAGGGGCATCGGGGACCCCCTGTCGCAGGCAGGGCTTCAGCCCCCGCAATCCCCTTCCCCTCTCCTATTGCTTCATCCTCTCCCAAACAGACTTATTCTGTTTTCCTTCCAAAGCAGCTCGCTGCAGTGTTTTTTATCTGCCATTAAGCAGGTCAGGCTGCACCCAGGGACTGTGTTATGATTTTGCTCTCCGTCTCCTGCAGCATTATGAGGTTTCTCGTCTCCAAGCGCAAGTTTAAGGAGAGCCTTCGTCCCTACGACGTGATGGATGTCATCGAGCAGTACTCAGCTGGCCACCTGGACATGCTGTCCCGGATTAAAAACCTTCAGGCCAGGCAAGAGACCCCTCTCTTTGCTTCATTTTCCACTGCTTTTTGTTCACTGTGGAGGTATTGCTAGGGGAGAGATACTTTCCTTTGCAGCTGCAGTTTGTTTTTTTTTCCTTTCTAAGACAAATCCTCAAGGAAAACATCAGTGCTTGTGGCTGGAACCCACAGGGATAAGCAGGACAGGGACTGCCACTAAAACCACCTTACTGCCCTTCTCAGGGTGTACAAAAATCATGGCTCATCCTCCTGCTTTATTTTGGGAGATTTTGGCATTGCAGTGCATCCCATGGGAAAGGTGGGTGGGTGTCTCTATGGTGCTCCTGACAGGGTGCAAAGGTTTGGTGCCCCAGTCTCAAGGTGGATAATTTGGGGCCTTTCTGGGATTGATAGGACAGAAATTTGGGGTCCTGGCACAGAGAGCAGTGAGCAGGCAGTGGCTCCCTCCCTCCTTTGGGATGCTAAGGCACTTCAGGAGGAATTCCTCCTGGAATGGCACAGTCTGCTGGAGATCCATGCAGATGGGAATTTCTCATCCAAGCCCACCGACGTAGGTGGGGTTTAGCTGAGCTGCACTTCAGCTTCTGTGCTCAGATTTTAGGGGGAGATGTGTTCATTTTGATAGGCGAAGGAAGGTGGAAAATGGAACAAATGGAACCGAGAAGGTTCCATTTTTTTTCCTGTTTCTCCTGGAAGAAAAAAAAAAAACAAAAAACCAAACCTAAACAAATAAATTTGATTCCTTGTACCGAGGATTGGAGCTAAATCTTTTAGTCTGACCACTCCTCCCTGAGCCATGGTGGAAAAGCAGACCCCAAGCCTCCAACACCCCTGGCTGTGTTGGCTCAGCAGAAGTTGCTCCAGTTCTGCTGAGCTTGAAGGACACCCGGAACAGTGGCAGGACTTGGCCATGGGCAATCTCCAGTCAAAAAAATACACCGTTTGCTTTTACACTTGGAGAATAAAATCACTTCCTTTGATGGCTGTGGCAGCCCAGCTTCCTCTAGAAGCCATAGAGAAGGTTTTCCTTAAATTTCCAATCCCTCTAAGTCCCTGGAAGAGACAGAAAATGTGAAGGGAAAAAAATTGTTTGTGTATACAAACAGCTGACATGAACCCCAGGAATGAAATAGGAAAATTGTCTTGGGAAAAAAGAGGAATCTCTGTTCTGCCATGATTCTCTCAGAGACCATTTTAACTCTGCTATTTTTGATGCTCAAGATGCAGAGGTAACTTTCTCAGCTTTGCTGCACACTGTGCTTTTCCCAGAAGGAACATTCTCCCTTGCTATGGAGACCAAAATATCCTGGAGAATTTCCTCTCTTTGAGCCTCACACTCCTGTTCAGTACTGAATTCGTATTCAGTGATTACAGATCCAATATGTGTAGCTGAATATAGAGAGGGAAGAGGAGGAGGAGGGGATTGAGGGTTCCTAACTTTAGTAACCTGAAATGAGAGGCCTCCATGCTGTCTCCATACTGGGACATTGGGGTTGTCATCTCTGCTGGCTCCAGGTGGGATGCCCGAGTCTCCAGCACCTTGAGAGCCGTGGCAGATTGCCTCAACACCCAGTCCTGCAGGGGGATGTGCTGCAAAGCCAAAGTAGTTTGGTTGGCTGCCTTTTTGGGGAGATTGGGGTAAGGAATCGCAGCTTTCAAAGACCAAACCAGATTCTCCTCTCAGCTGTAGCTGTGGGACTGCAAAGGATGAGGTTCTGGGACTGGGCAAGGCTGTCACCCATCCCCTCAGAGGGAAGCCAGGAGGACCAGGAGGTGCTTCAAAAGGGAGGATTTGGGATCCAAGACTACCAGGCAGCTTCCCTGGTTTCGCTGTCCCCACTGAGCAGGGGATTGGTGATGGTGATGGGAGCAGGCCCCTTTGGGGTCACCCTGTGGCACCAACAGCTCCCACGGCTGCTCAGCTGTCCAGCACGACCAAAAGGGCCCCTGCAGACAAGGCCATGGCTGGGCTGGACCCTGCCCCCCTGGGGTGGGGAAGTGGTCACAGAGCACCTTGGAGAGCAGATATTTTAATCCCCCTTTCCTTCATCAGTCAAACCCTGTGCTCTCCCTGCCAGCTCAGCTCAGCTCAGCTCAGCAGGGCTGGCTCTGACCTCCCCCAGCCAGGGCTTTGGTGGATTAAAGCTGCATCCAGGCATATTTCTGGGGTGTTTACATGCACTTTCCTCTTTAATCAGTAAAGCCTCTGTCACTGTGTCTGCAATGTGCTCTTTTCAGTGTTGTGTTCACATTGTCTCGTGTTCCATCCTGACACCTTGCCAACCATGGATGTCCCCATTCATTGAGTTATCCAATCCTGCAGCGTTCCTCGCCGGCTCCCAGCAGCTCATGCTTTCCTGAACTAGCTGAGGATGTGTTCTCTAGCACTGGAACTGAAAGGAGAATGAATATATGTTGTTTCATATCCAGCCACCTCAATGGGATATTGCCACACACATGCAAATATATTCCAGAGGGTAAAGCATGTTGCCTGTTATATCTGGGGTGGGGGGAGCTCCTATAAATGTTGCAGTGGTGCTTAAATCTCCAAACCTTACCCTGACCTGGGTAAGACTCTGGTTTTTCACCAACAACCAGGTGGTAGGAGAGAGCCTTCTGTTTCCAGCGGAATATATTTTCAAATTCTCTCTCTTTCTCTCCCTGTCCTTCTGTTTTTCAGTTGTCTCTTTCTGCGACTTTTCTCTGACCAACTTTTCTCTACGTGTTGCTTCATTATGCATTTTGCTGGTGTCTTTTTTTTCTTATTTACTTTGCCAGGATAGATATGATTGTGGGTCCCCCACCCCCTTCAACTCCCCGGCATAAGAAGTATCCAACCAAAGGACCCATGTATTCTTCCAAAGAGTCTCCCCAATACTCGCCTAGGTTAGGATTCACCAAAATGCCGCTTTCTCTGGAATTATTATTATTTTTTTTTCATTTGCTTAATGTCAAACCCCTTTCATGCCAGTTATATGACGGCATTTCTCACTTAGCAGTGCAGCCTGCTAAATCATGACTCGCCAGGGTTTGCTGCTCTGGGTGTGCTCGGATTTGCCTTCAAGCCAGAGGGGATCAAAAAAGGGGACATTCATTCAGACATCGATAACCATCAGTTCCTTCAGCGAGCCTGTTTCCTATTTTCTGTCTTCTTTGAGGTGTTAGAAAGCTAAATTTGAAAATCTCGTATTTTATCAGGCTGTCTTCAAATGTAAAAGGTGGAATATTTACCCACAAAGCCAATATAAAGTGAGCAATCCGCTTCCTAAAGGATGACAATGTCCACACACAAGCAAAGGAGCCTCTGCAGCTCTTTGGACTATTAAATTAATTTATTTCAGTGGGCAAAGTAAGAATGAAGTGTTTTGTAGCTGATGAACACAGTGATCTCTATTTCTTGCTGATGCCACTCTACTGATCGTGAAGGAAAAGAATTTTGTTCAAATATTGCAACCATAGGATTCATATCCAGAAAAATAATAAATAAATCCTGATTTTTCAAACGAAATGAGCAGGAGTCAAACCCAGCCCTCAGTCACACAGCAAGATATTTCTCATTAAGTTCTCTCCTTAAGTAAAACCMTATCTGAAGCTCATGCAATGAGGAATATATTCTCACAAAAATTCCAATTTTAGGGCATTCTAAGGTCTGGGCAGCAAGACCATGAGCTGGGCTGTATTTTCTCCTTGCACTGGACCCAAGGCAGGTATAAATATTTGCCAGAAAGTCATTTTTCGTGCAGAAATAGTAGGTGATTTTTAAATGCAGCAAGCTAAGCCTCCAATATTTTTTTTTCTAAAAATATTTGCCTCCCTAAGAGCTAATATGTGACAAATCTCTTGATTTTTATTTAAGCTGCTCTGAGTAATCTTCACTAGAGAAATGTAAGTAAAAGGAATATTGAAAGCTTACCTTTTTCCACTCAGCTAGCTCAAATATTAAAAAAATAGAATTTTTTTCAGAAGCCCCAAGCTTTATGCTTGAAAAAAAATGTTTTCAGAAAAACATTTTTTCCCATTTCCCCTCCCTGACAAATTATGAGGCCCAAAGTGAGTATTTGAAAATTAAATAACCTTCTCATCTGCAGAAACATTCAGATTTTAAAATAAAAGCACATATTCAAGTTGATTTTGTARTATTTAAGCTTTAAGGTGATGTGCACAACCCTTCACTAAAGGCAAGATTTTCATGTGAAAATTCATGCCTCACACACAGCAAAGGTGMTTAATGGATCTGAGGGGAGGAGGCYTCAAACTGGGATATTTATTTTAGTCAGCACAATTCTGTTGCTGTATCAGCTTCAGAATGAGTTTTTTCCCTCTGTTTTTACATTTTTTAATACTGATTAAACAATGTTTGCACATGCCCACAAGGCTCCTGGGATTTTAGACATTTTTCTTGTAATAATTTCTCATTTTTCCAATTAATTTGTTTGTTCCCCCCTTACTGAGCTGTGGCTGCAGAAAGCAGCAGAGTACAGAATGCTGCTGAAATCTCTGCTCCCACCCATGAAAAGGCTTATGCTGCACTTATTTTTTGGCAGTTTTTATCCTCCCACAGACACCAGAGGGKCTTGTGAGGTTCTCAAGGAGCTGATGGATGGGAACCAGAGCTCAGATCCAAAARCTCTGGGTCAGACTCTGCTGCTGCCACAATTTTTGTCACCCCAACACCACGTGGGTCTGTGCCATGGGGACATTGCTGTGAGGTCCCCATGGATGGCTCCAGCCTCTCCTTTTCAGTCTGCACYCCCTGTTTTAGCCAAATTCTGCCCAGAGAAACATTGTGGGAGTGGTGTCTCATGAGCTGTCTTGACCCTGTGGATTGCTCCAGTGACAAGGGCACAGTTCAGCCAAAATTTTCCTGCATTCAGCTCCCTGCAAAGGCAGGGGATCCTGGTAGGTGCCCATGGCTGTGGTTTGGCTGATGGTGTTTGCTCCATGCTCTWCATAAAGACAATTTGTATAAAATTCCCTTGATAAGCTGAATTAACCTTGAACAGGTGCAATCCCAGCTGTAATTTTTAGACAACAGTTGTTGATTGAAATTTGTCCAGAGCAAGCTTTATTGCCAAATGAAAGGGTTAAGTAGCCAGTCCTGTGACATGGATGAAGGGGGTTTGGCTTCAATGCCTGGATTGTTTACAAAAATTTATAAGAGATAAAGAGAAAAAAWAGAAAAGAACTTGACTATCTATTCCCAAACACTTCATTTTTATCTCATTTGAGCCGTTTGACCTTTTGATGTCTGCTTCTGGCCCGAGGGTGACATATTACACCTCTTTGCATGAAGCATGAAGCATAATGAAGCATGAGAAAACCTGCACTGTGGCTGATGCAAGAATTTACATTTTTTTTTGTACCATTAGAAAGAAGGAAAGACAGTAAAATTCACTTTAAAGAGCAATCCCCTTTTCTCTCTCCCTCYCAAACCGAGGCCCAGCAGAGCCTACCAAGGACAGCAGATGGCACAGTTTGTCGTGCATCCTTAGAAATCTCTGAATCCTCTTCTGCCAGGAAAGGAAAAACATGGGGCTGGCTCTTCAAAGCTTCAGCTGAATTCTTCCCTCTGCACGTGTGTATTTGGCACAGCCAAAATAAGCATTGAAAAGACACAGGATTCCCCCAGGGCTGTAGTGTAGAAGTGGGATAGGCAGCTCAGAAGATTCTTGTTCCTTTGTCACGCAGTAAGAATGCAAACTATCCCCTTCTGCTTGCAAAACTGGAATATGTTCTCTCTTCTTCATCTTTTGAGCTTTGCTGYCCAGTTTGGACAAAACCTCAAAATCTTGTAATGGCTAAAAGGACCCTCTGCTTTTGGTCCTCAGCCAGGTGCAGGTGGGTTGGGAGCTCAGAAAGAATTTCCTCTTTTCTCTTGTATCAGATAAGGCACAGGTGACATCTCTGCGCTTTACTGAGGGTGGGAGCACATTCCTGTGGTCCAGCTTGTGCCATGGGAAGCAAAGAGTGGGAGACCTCGAGCCTGGTTTCTCCAGTAAAGAGAGAAGGACTTGATTCACCTTCTGCTCCACTCTCTGCCCTGCAGTCAGAGGCTCCTGCACCATCCTTGGTGCTTCCTCAGAGCTATACAAGACAGCCACCCCAGGAGCTGGGATGTGTTCAGGTGTAGACACAAAGGGAGTGAATTGAGCAGGAATTCTGGGTTCTAGTGTCGATTATATAATGGGAAAGGGCTTCTGAGTGCTTTATGGGTGAGCTCTGTGAAGGATTTCAGCCCCACTCGTACATCCTAGCAGGTCTAAAGGCAGGTTGTRTTCCCTGAAGGTGAGCAACAGCTTAGTGCTGTTCTTAGTGATCATTCCATCTGTGAGCTGCCAGCTGGCCCTGTAATGGGCCAGGTGAGGTTCACTTCCTGAGAGCTCTTCTCTGAAGACATGGAAGACAGCAAAAGTCCTGCCTCGATTTCTGCAAGATGAGAGTTAGGGTAGACAAGCCTCTCTCTGTTTTTATGATGCAACATTCGGTTCTCCTCCTCTCTGTGTCACAGTCTGTCCTTCCTCCCTGCTCTACTCAACAACCAGTGAGAGACATCTCATTTCCATGAGTGGACACATTTCAGTGTCAGTGCTGTGCTGGATGGGACAGGAGGACAGAGCACCCTGATTGTTCTTGGCCTTCTGCAATATTCAATGACATTTACACTTTGGGCCTCTTTAAACTCGTGTTCATTGATTTACCAGTCTACTTGCTTGTGCATACAGGAGAGGAGTTCATACAGTGGCTGTTCCACGCCTTGACTTGTGATTCCCCACCAAGGTAGCCCGAGGTATCCAATTTAACAGCTCTTGGCTTACATGGTAACGACATTGTCGTAGGATTTCTTGTGCTGTATGTGCTGTCGGTAATTGCATCCCTTGTGGGGAGTTCCTGTCCATGTCAGTGATTTCCTTCTCCCATTACAAGAGAGAAATAAGGCATGCGTATTCCTCACACTTGTAATTCCAGCACTTGGTGCTCCTTGTACTCCTGTGCTTATATTGCTAAGCAAAGGATCAAACGTGGCTTTTCGAGCAGAACAGAATTCTGTCGCATCCCTGCCCRAATGAAGTAGTTTCTGGGATCAAAGCTAAACTCTGAACTGATTGTTGGCTTATATTTTCTGTCTTTGGTGTGATGTGCTCATCCACTTCATCTCTTTGAGCCAGATCTGGTGCTGTGAAGTGCTGTTGCTCTAATATAAGCTAAGGGAGCCACTCTGGTCCATCCCCACTGTCCCTCAGTGTCAACAGCCAACATCCGTACAAAGTCCCTGTCCAGTGTGAAGAAAACTGATGGCTCTTRTGTTGGAAATAGCCTCACGTCTCATCCCTTTCCTTGGTTTTTGTTTGTTCATTTTCCCCTGTCTGTCTGTGTTCAGCTCCTTCCTTTTCCTCCTCCTGGTGCATGGACCCATGGCCCACACGGCAGAACTGCGTAAGAAGCATTTTGAGTTTTCGCTCAAGATACCTCGACTTGGTTTCAGTCAGATTAATTAACCCTTCTTTTCCCCCTGCCACCCTTATCTTTGGTGCATTATGCAACAGTAAAGTTTGTCCAGCACAGAATTAGTCTMTAAACCTGGCTGCCACTGAGAATTTATTCCAAAAATGAGTAGCTCCCCTGACTTTGGAGGTATCAGGAAGCTCCAGGATTTACTCTCAAGTAAATTTATGTGTGATGCTTCTAATAAAATTTAGTTCCAGCTTCCAAACTGGTTCTGCCCTCCTTCTTCCTCTGTATATGGAGCTGTTAATCAACCCAGGTGTTCCCACACTGGGAATGAGGAAGTGCAAATGTGACGTGTGTAAAGAAGTCAGTACCAATTTATGTGCCTTGTAACCTTGCCTTTCTGATTTGGCAGGAGCCTCCTCTGCTGTTCCCAGCTGGGAGCCCTGCTAATAAAAAAAAAACATCTGGCAGGACAAGTGTGAACTGCATTGAGATGAAAACAGTTTGGTAATGTTTGGTGAGTTGTGGCAAAATCCAGCCTTGATGTAATTCCACTGAAACAGTTATCACTGCACCTGTTTGTCTGGATCTTAGGACAAGCAGCTCATTTTCAKGGACATGAGAATTACACATGGACATTTGCATTGAGGAGAGGAAACTGCTGCAAAGACTGAAAAACAATCCCATTGATACATGCTAGACAGAAAACTTGATCTTCCCCCAAAATAATAATTTCTCAGTGCAAATAAGAAGTTAATCGATTTGGAAAAAAGCCAGTTGAAGAAATTCTTTGCAGTGGGTAAATTTACTGTGCATAATGTGCCAGGTTTTATCTGTATAAACAGAAAYGGATAATTTCAAACTCTGCTAATACTGCTCTGAATTTTGCATCTGAATTAACAMTTCAGTGCCACTGCGTGTCTGTGAGTAATTTGGAGTGTTAGTTGGGAGAGAGAGGCTGTTGCTTTGTCCCGTGGAGGCACGACAAGCGGTGCCCTCCTCGCCTGCTGCCTCCAACTGACTCCAGGTCTTTTTCCGGGGGCGGGGGGATTTTCTGATTCCGGTAGAGTTGACCAGATTGTTGGGAGAGGATCCTCCATGACCGACAAGGATCGGACCAAAGGGCCAGCGGAGGGGGAGCTGCCTGAAGACCCCAGCATGATGGGCAGGCTTGGAAAAGTTGAAAAACAGGTATCTTGGTTCACGAAGGGGTTCTTGTTAGATGGTGCTGCATGCGTTGTGTTGTTTTCTTCTTGCCTTTTTTTTCCTCTGTGGGAGGTTACAATTTAGCTAAAAAAAAAAAGTAAGAGCCAGAATATTTTGAAAAAGAAACAAGATGGATGTTATGAAAGGGCACAAAATGTCTTGGAAGCCTAAGTGCTACTTTCAAATCAGGCTCTTTGAATCTAGTGAGTTTATCACAAGCCTGCATTATTTTTGAAAACAGTACATTGGTTTCTTTGCCACCACGCTGGACTCATTTCAAATGAGTCCCTGAGCCTGGCTGCTRTAGCTGCTGGCCTTGCTGAAGATTTAAAATCTTCCTAGAGGATAAGGCTCAGAAATCCCTGTGTCCTTCTGAGCCCAGCCAAGTGCAGGAATGAGCTGGAAGGAGCAAGTGTACTCCAGCTTTTCTGGAACTTGGTGCTTGTTGGAAAGATTAGAGGAGCATAAGGAAAATCCTGTAACAAGAGAAACCATGTAAAAAGGTGGAGAATTAAACCCTTCAGAAAGGGACAATTACGTATTTACTAAAAGTTTGAGATGCTGTGGGTCAGTGTAGGTGAAGGWGATCTATGATGCCCATCCCCACACTTGTTCCTCAATGGAGGCTGCTCATACTCAGGGTGTTAATGTTCTCCACCCTGCATGCAGTGCTGGAACTGTGGTGTTTCTGCAGGTCCAGTCAATGGAGAAGAAGCTGGACTTCCTGGTGAACATTTACATGCAGCGGATGGGCATCCCACCGACGGAGACGGAGGCTTACTTTGGGTCCAAAGAGCCAGACCCAGCCCCTCCCTACCACAGCCCCGAAGACAGCCGGGAGCACATCGACAAGAACGGCTGCATCATCAAGATCATCAGGTCCACCAGCTCCATGGGTCAGAAGAACTTCTCCGCCCCGCCGGCCCCGAGCAACGCGTGCCCGCCCTCCACGTCGTGCCAGCGGCAGAGCCACGGCTCCTCGCCCGTCGGAGACCCCGGCTCGCTGGTCCGGATCCCGCCCCCGCCCTCGCACGAGCGCTCCCTSTCCGCCTACAGCGGCGGGCACCGGGCCAGCGCCGAGTACCTGAGGAACGAAGACATTACAACCAAACACCACGAGAGTGCCATGAGAGACAGCGACACGTCCATCTCCATCCCCTCGGTGGACCACGAGGAACTGGAGCGCTCTTTCAGCGGCTTTAGCATCTCCCAGTCCAAAGAGAATTTGGACATCCTTAACAACGGTTGCTATGCAGCCGTGGCCAAAATCAGACCCTACATTGCAGAAGGGGAGTCAGACACCGACTCTGACCTCTGCACGCCCTGCGGTCCCCCGCCGAGGTCGGCCACGGGCGAGGGACCCTTCAGTGACATGGGCTGGTCAGCCCCCCGGCAGTGAAGCCYCCCTGCAGCCGCCGAGCCACGTCCGAGCGCTGGCAGCTGCCYGCTCCAGCTGTCCACGTGTGGAACTTCTCAAGGAGATTGACAGCTAAGGTTTTCCTCTTTCTGGGACACCCTTAGCTGGCAGATACTTTCTTGCAGCTTACTCTGGGAGGGGAATGAGCAGGTCTGAGCCTGCATTTGTGGAAGAGGTCACGGTGATGAGCGAACTGGAGCCGTGAAGTCCAGATTTCTTTCATACTCTCTTTCTAAGATCATTAGGTGAAACTATTTCATGGCGCAGGGTAGGCGATTTGCATTTCTTGGGAATCTTTGGGAGCGCAGGGCAGGAAAAAATCACCCAGCCAGGGGCTTTTGTAGATCACATTAACTGGTGGCTGACAAGTGTTAGGTGGGAATTGCTACGTCATGGCACGAGCTGATCACACCTTTGGGTGTTTCGGAGTCACAGACTGAACACGTGTCTGTTCCTGGCTTAGATTTCAGGGCACGTGTCATTATGGGGGTTGTTACTCTGTGGTTCCTCATTGGCTGTCAGGAAGGTGGCATAATTCCAATATAATACATGGAAATGTTGTGCAGGCCCCTGGAGGAGGACARGGATGGTGGCTGGGATCTTTGCATRAGCAGARGACATGGMCTCAAAGTGGGACAGGTYGGGATASTGCTCTGAACCAGAGCAGTTTGGAAATTATCCCATCTTAGGAAAAACTCAGAAGTATGAGCTTGAGTGCGAGGGCAGAGAAATGAGAGGGCAGAGAAGGACAAGACACTATGGGGATGGAATTTTATATTTTAAACCATGTATTATATTTAATTATCTCTCCTCCTGCTGACAAGGGGCTTGGGGGTGCTTTGAAAGCAAAGACAAACCAAAGGCATCCCCTCTGAGGGGCTGCCATGGTCCCAAGCCATTGTCATGGCCAACAGCACTGCTGGGAGGGCACAGCCACCAGGCAGAGGGACAGTGTGGACGTGCAGGATGCTGTGGTCCCCGCCTTGCTGCGAGTTAAGTGCTGAGCTCCATCCTCTGGAAGCCCTGTTGGTCAGAGTGGGCACTTTTCTTACAGTTTGCATTGTGCCTGAACACTTTTGCACACACTATGCCCGTGAARATCTTTCCTTTCTTCTTCTGCCCTGCCAAGAATCTCACCCCCACGTTCTCGGGACATCCTTTGGTTTGTTTGGATCCCTCAAGCTGAGTTAAGAGGCAATTCTTTCTTTCTTCATGGTGTTTCAGAAGCCTCTTAACCATGCTTGCTCACGAGTTGTGCCAATCCCAGTGTGCTCCATCCCATATGGGAAGCACCTCCTCTAGGAAAGGTCATTGTGTCGTTACCAGGAGCCTCAGCAGCTCCTTCAGCTCGGGAAGGCGAGGGGGAAAGCGAAGCTCAAAGTTTCTTTTGGGACCAAAACAAAGCCACAAAGTGATCCTTGACATGGATAATGGGGTGTTTTACATGGTGGGTTTTGTTGTTTTTGGGTTTGTTTTTTTTTTGCAAGGGGGTGGATCAGGAGCAGTTTGGTTTGGGATCCATTTTCAGGGCTGGGGCAGCGTGGCTGGCACTGTGCCTCTGAGCCTTGCTGTGAGTCCACAGCCCAAATCCCACTCGTGTTTTCTGCTGTGATTTCAAARCCCTGTCTTTCCAYATTTCCCCTGTGTCATATCAAGAGYCTGTTAAGGATATTTAGGTGAAAAYTTCATTTCTGTGTGGCCTTTGAGAGGTTGAACATTGACTTGCTTGGGGTGAAGGGAGACTCACAGCCTTTTTCTCTCCTCCTGTTTGCTTGACCAGACACAGCAGCCAGGGGAGACCCAGGATAATTTTGGCCTTAGGGAAGATGTGGGTGCAGTCTGACAACTTGCAGGCAGGAAATAAAATTATTTTTTTTTGCTAGTGCCCAGGACCAACACACGGGTCTTACCATGGGATGAGGAAGGGGGAAGGATCTTCACAACTTTTCCTGMCATTTTTCACCATTCAGGAGGGGAAAGTATTTTTCTTTGGAGGAAACTGGGCTTCCAGCCATGCTAGTTCCTTTCTTTCCCCTCTTGAGCCATATTTTTGTTAACTTCTGCAGTTTTCCCCTCTTTGTTTGTGCTCCAAAACTCCTTCTGGCTCCAGATTTTTTTTGTGCAGAGTAAACGCAGCGATGTCCTTGACTTCTGTGCAAAGACAACTTTAAATGCCAAGTGGCTGTAAATTGTGCAGATTTGCCTCTGGTGTGTTCCGAAATGAGATCCTTTTGCTAGAACAAGAAATGTCAGCAGGTCCTAAATCAAACATGGTGGTCTGAGCTTTCTCAGGCACCGCAAGAATGGAAATTGCATTTGGTGAGGCAAAAATCAACATTGCCTCAGCCAGCTGCTCKCTGCAAATTTGGTCCAAGTCAGAGATAACAAAGATTTATTCTCTTATTTGTTTGCAAATGACTTTTGAAGGTCTGCTGGAAATTTGGCACAGAGTGTATGATAGAGAGGCAGGAATGCCAGATAAGGATGAAGATGAGGATGAGGATGAGGATGAGGATGAGGATGAGGATGAGGATGAGGATGAGGATGAGCATGAGGATGAGGATGAGGATGATGCCATGCAGCCCTCTTGCAGCACAGGTACATGTCTTTAATCACAGAACCACTGAGTCATAGAAGCAAAGAATGTTTTAGGTGGAAAGGAACCTTAAAGCTCATCTTCAGGGACTGCATAGGAAGAATTAAGTTTTTCCTCTTCAACTTCCTACAMTGGAATCTATAAAGATCTTTTGATTTTATCTTTAAACGTTTCTGGATTTGTTCCATGATCAGTGATTGCAGAAAATTGGTTTTATGCACATGCAGCACAGATCATATCTGTCTGCTATATAATTCACATAGAATTTTTTTTGAGAGGTACATTTTTCTGTGGAATCRTATCTAAGAAATTCTGACATGCCTTCATCCACAACCATGCCCATAAATCATCACTTCTCATTCATCCAGGCAAAACCCCATGGATTTGGGGTTAACTTACACTAGAATTAGCTACAAACAATGCTTTTTATTTTCATGAAATTATTTAGGCCTGCATAAACAATGACAAGGCCTTCTTGTTACTTATTGACATAAATAATTTAATTCCTGTCCTAAATCATAGTCCAATACTCCCTGAAAAATCTTCTCTTTCAACCCCATGCCTGGATCCCCCACACCTGGTGGCAATCTCCCACAAGAAATCCTAACCACTTCACTGAAACAAAATAAATCAGTTTTGGGTTGCTAATAAGGCAGTCCCAATGACAAAGACCTTTATAAGAGTGGGCAGACAAATTTTGTCCCTCTGTTGAGCCCCTCCCAGGCTACTCTTTGCTCCCCTCTTCCTCACAAATCTTGTTCCATATTTTTTGGAGGACAGAAACAAGTTTTAGGCAATGCCAAATGTGCACAGAGGAGTCCAAAGAGAGCTGAAGAAGATGTGAAAGCCAAATTTCCAGCAGACCATCTTGCACTGTGCCAGGGCTGCCCAGTTCCGTGCCCAGAGCCTGGTTCAGTGTGTCTGTGCCCAATGTGAAGCCATGACCTTGGACCAGAGCCAGAATCTGGTCTCCAAGAAATATTTGGGCTTTTTTTGCCTCCCCCCAGAATCTGTGTCTGGGTCTGGAAAGAAACACTGCAATTGGCCCACCCATGGGATGGAGCAATGCYTGGGGCTGGGACACGAAGCCACAGAAAGTTTTTGGGTGTTTCAGGTCCAAGTGTGAGTCCAGGTGGTCTGAGGAGTTCTCTGAACAGGAGACGTGGCTGGAGATGTTGCAAGGTGGCCTTTCATAATGTGACCCCGAGACAGAGGAACAGCCATAAGTCAAATTTCCCAATATTTGGGAAGGGACTTTAATGTTACTCAAGTGCAGATTTTGTATGTGAATTTCCTTGTTGACCCATTTTCTTAATAACACTTTTTAAAGCAAAAAATGTCAAGAAGCTCACCAAACCCAAACCTCTCATCCAGCTCAGAAAGCCATTCTATTTCTTTAGACAGACTATGTGATAGATCAGATTTTSTAAAAATGCATTTTGTTTCAAATTCTGCTTAATAGATCCAAATAAATTTTGCAGGGTCATTGCTACTTACAGATAAATAGGTATATTTTTACATTTTAAATTGATTTTTAAGATTTTCAATTATGTGAATTTTTAGAACAAGTTTGTAGWATCTACCTGAGAAGCCAGAGCATCACCTCAGATACAAACATTCCCCTTCCAGACAATTGCCCAAGAGAAAAGAAAAGCACCTTCACTCATACTTTTCCCAAGAGGGAGCTACTGGAAACYTCATTTTCCTGATATCCTCAGACCACCATGGTCACAGTAACATTGTTGTTAAGACTAAAATATAAATGTTAAAAGAGAAATGGAAATTCTTAAGGAATTTACCCGAAGTTGTCCCATATGAAGATTAGCAGTGAGTGTTTTATTGGGAATTTAACATGCCCAGGAGCAGAATAACAATTTCTGTTTCTCCATCATGTGAATGCTCAGGCTGAGCGAGCCCTGAGCCTCCAACCCTTTCTTCCCAACCCACAGCCGCATCCTCATCCTCTCCATCCTCTCTCCATCACAGGTCAGCCTCTTCTGTTCTCCTCAGCTTCCTTTTCCTGAGCCAGAAACAAGGAAATCAGATACAAAAGCTCCTTCAGGTAGCGTTGAGGCTGTGCTGGRGAGGGCTGAGGGCAGCAGCCCCTCCGAGCCCCACGGGGTCACTGCTGCTCAGAGGTGTAAAAGCAAACCCTTGCTTTTGGCACACAAACACCCCGACTTTTCTGCCTCACCGAGCAAAACCCGCTCAGAGCAGGGGCGTGGGTTCACCGGATTTTTTTTTAAACAATAACAATAGGGTGGGTTTTTAATAATAAGGATAATAATACTGCATAGGAATCTTCTTTAGTATAACTTAGTGTTTGATGCCCCAGTGACACAATACTGCTTGCCTTATCTTAGTGTCTAGAGGGAGAGGGATCACACACCTTTTGATACACTATTAATCACGCTTCGAGTTTAGGTAGCAGCGGGGTCCTTTTTAACTTATGAATGTGCTTTCTGGACTATCTCACTGACTGTACTCTCAATTTTGCCTGCTACTGCATGCAGCCTGAGATGAGTAGACAGCAATATGCTCCAGCTGTATCTGCACTCCCAGATTGCTGTAGTACCTGACAAGGTAACATTGCCAAAAGCATCACTCTGGGGAGGGGTTGTCCTCCCGCAGGGTGCTGCGGTGCTTCTGTAGGTAACACTGATATACCAAGTGTCTTTCATGCTGCAACTGGTCATCATCCCACCCCTCTGATACAGCATGCACAGACTCCATTTCTACTGTTTGTGACTACGGGGTAAAAAAAAATGTTTGTACCTGTGGTTCCTTCAAGAGTGTAAATGGGGAGGAGAAAACAGGAATTGTGTTGGCTGTGTGTCACAACCTCCTTTSCATCTGGGTGCCTCTGAAAAAAGGCATTCCAGATACCCCTTTCTGAGGGTTTGGAGGAGCAGGCAGTGCCAAGGATGGAGGCCTGGTCTTCATTTCAAAGATGCCATTTGAGCCCACACGTGTGGGATTTGCCATATGTCTGGTT